GGAGCGGCAGAGACAATGTCTGATGAACTGAGTACAGTATAAATATTAAACAAACTTCTACAAAACAGGATCGGAATAATTTCCTGCTTCTAAGCATAACTTACATAATTAATGCATTTATATGTGTTAAAGCAGATGTGGGGCTAGAAACTCTTAGCTGTAGATACACAAGTTATTTAAAATCCTGTTTTCAGAAAGTTTTTTCACTGTGCTGGTAACAGGCAGACATTCAGAAATCACTGTAACCAGACTTAAGCAACTTGCATACCATTCTATTTCAACCTCTGCCTTAAATCAAGGTATGCTATTTACAATTGTTCTTGAAGCCCACAACTGGACAGAGGCAAAAATATTAACATAAAAAAATGCATGTTTTATTTTCAGCTTTAAAGATGCATCTCTGAACAATCAGTAGAAAAAAAAAACAAGTTAAAAAAGTAAACACCAGCATTTGGTAAAATCACATCAAACTAATACAAGACTTAATACAAAGTTTTCATATACCACACAAATACAGTTTAAAAAAAAAAAAAAAAAGAAGCCTGGTCTCCAAGACCCCTTCTACTTGAACTAAATCGTTAAGTACCTACAGATTTTAAGTATAAAACAAGGATACATTCTTTCTTTTTTCCTCCATTTATGAAGTCAATTGCCACATACTTCAATCATTTGCAAGTGAAATTCGCATAGTCTCAGTGACAGAATTGAAGACAACACATAGAATTCCATGACTGAAGTCCTTCTGTTTTCAGTATAAGCTCTTCATCAAGTCAACACTCATCACATATCTTTAGACTGATCATCTTCTTCAAGTTTTCTGATTTCATTCTTTAAACAGTTGATGGTTTCACGACTTGCTTTTAGTCTTTCTTTAAGCTCAGCGATTTCAAAACTAGTTTTCTTTTTGGCAGCTTCCAGCTTTTCCCTGGTTTTCACTTCAAGATCTGCAACTATGGTAGTGATAAAAATTAATATTGTAAGTACCATGAAAAGTTGTATTATTTTTTTTAATAGCAACAATAATTTGGATGGTATGTGTCCTGAAAAATAAAAAAAAGGGGAGGGGGGGAAAGAGCTTGTTTTATGGCCTCATTCAGCCCATCAGTTTTGTGGATGGAGTTATATAATTCACTAAATCATTTGCCAGAGTTTTTTAAAGGTTAAGTGGGGAAAAAAACCTGACGTGGTGACAGCAAATAAATGGGAAATTACAGAGAATTACAAATAATTTGCATGTGGTGCCCAGCGACAGCACATGAGGCCACAGACACAAATTAAAACACAGGAGGTTCCCTCTGAAGATCAAGAAACACTTTTTTTTCTGTGAAGGTGACAGCACTGACACAGGCTGCCCCACTTGTGGAGCAGTGGCAAAAAAAAAAAGTCTTATTTTTTATCTACTTCAGTAGCACGTTTTAAGGAAATATATACAAAAAACTCTACTAAACGTTTCTATCTACTCTCAGGAGAAACATGCAGAACTTTTAAGTGAGAAAAGTTTAAATTTGGACTTTTTTTATCATTCAAATTATTAAGTATTTTCTACACATAAACCGTAACAACATGCAAGGTAACAAAATCCACCTTGAGACTGGCTCAACTGAGGTGGGAAAACAGAAGTAGCTCACATGTCCACACACCTGAACAGACATAAGGCAAACTGGAACCCTAACTTGTAGAGCTTCAAACTCATCACCACTCTTAGCTCCAGGTATTCAGTGTCTAAAAATACTCAACATTTGCTGTTGTCGTGGGAACACGCAGGTAAGCCAAAGGCCAGGTGAGCCAGACTACGATGGCGTTGGAGCTGGTAACTAACAAGGTAGGATTTGGGCTCAATAAATACTAGATTTGCTTTCTCAGAGTAGAAGATAAGGGACGAAATTCACAAGATCAGAACAGAAACCATCACTAAATGCATTATGTTTTATGAATCAATGTATTTTTGTTTCATTTCTTTAATTCCCTTAAAATTCTGTTATATGTTTAAAGACAGATAAGGACACAAAGAACATTAAGCTATAATGAAAAAGTATGTTCTGAAATGACCTACAGTTAAAAAAAATCAGACAGAAAGGAAAAAGACAGGAAGAGCTTTCAGACACTACTCTTTATCCCAAAAGGGTTGCTGCTTTGACTAAAACTGTACTAACTGTTCTGTATTTCAGTACTTGACGTGTGATCTTTGCTTGCAGTTAACATCCCGATCAGCCAAACAGAACTTTATCACAAATACAGTGGCCTTAACTTACTCCCTAACTCATTTCAAAGATGTTAAACTAGGTGTAGCTCATGCCATCACTTTTCATACGGAGTTATTCATAATTTTTTTCCTTTTCAGCAGGCATACAGATCAGAAAATAATCTTAAAAGTTTTCAAAGAAGTATTAGTATCTTTGCAAAAGCTGAAGCTAATTTAATGCAAAAATATCACTTTTTAGCAGCATCCAATTCCATTGTACTGCTACAGCCCAGGAAAAAAAAAAACACTAAAAGCAAACCCAACAATTGTTTATTTCTAAAATTACAGTATTTTCATTTTGCAAAAGCTGAAGCTAATTTAATGCAAAAATATCCCTTTTGAGCAGCATCCAATTCCATTGTACTGCTACAGCCCAGAAAAAAAACAAACCACTAAAAGCAAACCCAACGATTGTTTATTTCTAAAATTACAGTGTTTTCATTTCCAACTTACACTCTGTTTCATGCTTATAAGCACCTAGCGTTAGCTGACGAGATGTTGTTAACAGCTGCTGCATCATTGCAGTAGGATCTTGAAATATCTATGAAGGAGAAAAATAAATGATATCACTAATACCCTTCAAAATAAAGTGAGGATTACATTAAAAATGTTCATACCATTTCATCGTAGAATTCAGAAACTACAGTTTTCTTTCCCAGGATGGCATTGGTATCAGACTGAAATAGTTTCAGCAAGTGATACAAGGTTACCTGTACAAAGAGAGAATTTTATTAGCTTGGCAATTGTAGGGAAATATAAATCTTGTAGATATCAACAAGCAGTATGTGTTCTTAATAAACAATTCTATAGGATTTAAAAATATTTTAGGAATGCAAAAATAAATGTCATATAACTTCAGCAGAATTACTTAAATTTAATATTCAGTGTTAAACACACTAACTATCCAAAGGCTCCCTGTTACTTTAAAAATGTCTGGGCAAGTGGTTTAGGATTGGTGTATAAAAACTACTAAGAATACCTTCTCGTAGCATTTCCAAATAGATGAATTAGTTCAAGCCGACTTTGCCAATTAATCAGTTAGAAAGTGCTTTCTGTGACCCCGCCATCCCTCTTGTGAAAGAAAAACACTGGGGAAGCTGTGAATAGCTTTTCACTGAAATTTCTCCTTACGGAGTTACTCTGCCATTACTGCACTGCAAACAGCAGGAGCTGGAGAGGAATGGGAGCCCTCTGTCCAGCCCTGAGGAACCACTGACCACTTGGACCACGACCTGGGAAGAGGACACACAGCCCACACTTCTTCCCTTCCACGAACAGGCCCACGAATGGTTGTGGAAGGGAGCGATACCTTACTCTGGTTGGTACTTCCTGGAAAGGAAAAACACGACAAGCACTGAAACAGCCTTCCAAGAACAGCAAAGAGAAAACACCCAACCAACTTTAGGACAGTTTGGTCAAGCTGTGAACAGAATTAGTGTGACAGGTCAGGTTGCTACTGAGCATGCCAGTGCAGGAAGTCCTTTCTAGTCTAGTATCAATTTTCACATAATCAAGAAAAACATAAAATTCAGTTTTCCTCTCTCATTCAGCAAAAAATGGCTAAAGCAGAAGGATCACTGTACTTCGTGCGAGAGAAGGAACCGAGTCTTTCTAGAAATAAACATCCCCTTCCCCTAAAATATGGTAATCAAGTTTCCTACCTAAACCTGTATAAACAAACCTGCAAGATACATCTAAAACATAGGATGGGAAGAACTAAATTAATTCCAGTGCTTTATACAAGTAGAGAAGTGTCTTAACCTGGTTTTCTTAGGAAACAAACTAATGCTAGCATAGTACCATTGCTGCTTTTTGACTGATTTTGACCAGTGGATGTTGTCTACCTCGACTTCAGCAAGGCTTTTGACGCCGTCTCCCATAACAGCCTCATAGGCAAGTTCAGGAAGTGTGGGTTGGATGAGTGGACAGTGAGGGGGGTTGAGAACTGGCTGAATGGCAGAGCCCAGAGGGTTGTGATAAGTGGCACAGAGCGCAATGTGCCCCAGGGGTCAGTGCTGGGTCCAGTCTTGTTCAACATATTCATCAGTGCCCGGGATAGGGGGACAGAGTGTACCCTCAGCAAGTTTGATGATACAAAACTGGAAGGAGTGGCCGATACACCAGAAGGCTGTGCTGCCATTCAGCGAGACCTGGACAGGCTGGAGAGTTGGGCAGAGAGGAACCTAACGAAATTCAACAAGGGCAAGTGTAGGGTCCTGCACCTAAGGAGGAAGAACCCCAAGCACCAGTGCAGGTTAGGGGTTGACCTGCTGGGAAGCAGCTCTGCAGAGAAGGACCTGGGAGTCCTGATGGACAACAACCTCTCCATGAACCAGCAATGTGCCCTCGTGGCCAAGGCGGCCAATGGTATCCTGGGGTGCATTAAGAAGAACGTGGCCCCAGGTCGAGGGAGGTTCTCTTCTCTGCCCTAGTGAGGCCACATCTGGAGTTCTGTGTCCAGTTCTGGGGCCCCCAGTTGAAGAAAGACAAGGAACTACTGGAGAGAGTCCCGTGGAGGGCTACAAGGATGATGAGGGGACTGGAGCATCTCTTGTATGAGGAAAGGCTGAGAGAGCTGGGTCTGTTTAGTCTGGAGAAGACTGAGATGAGATCTGATCAATGCTTACAAATACCTAAAGAGTGCGTGTCAAGAGGATGGGGCCAGACTCTTTTCAGTGGTGCCCAGTGACAGGATAAGGGCCAACAGGCACAAACCGGAACACAGGGAGTTCCATCTCAACATGACGAAAAACTTCACTCTGAGCATAACCAAGCACTGGAAAAGGCTGCCCAGAGAGGTTGTGGAGTCTCCCTTCTCTGGAAATAGTCAAAACCTGCCTGGACACGATCCTGTGCAACCTGCTCTAGGTGATCCTGCTCTAGCAGGGGGTTGGACTAGGTGATCTCCAGAGGTCCCTTCCAACCCTGACTGTTCTGTAAGTTTGTAAATCTGATAGACAAAAAAGGAAGAGATAATTAAAATATGCAAATATCCTAGAACTAGGAAGCTACATGAAAAAGAAATCCTCAGTGTGTGCTCAACCCAGGTAAGGTGCAACATGTGGTCACATATTAGTAAATGTCAGAGAAGCCAAGCACAGGAAAAGCCATCATGTGTGGTAAAGCACAGAAACAGGAAAATGTGGCCAATCGTTAAACACTTTTCCTACAAGAACAGGTTTTATTACGTCAATGGCTGATGAGACTTATTTTGGCCAGCAATATCCTTCAGCACAGCTTTAGGCCACGATAATTAATTAAGTGTTGTTAGACGTTCATTGTACTTACAGGTCTTTCATTTGGATCAATGAAAAATATCTTAATGATTATTTCAAATTCACCCCAGCCTGTTTCGGTGATTTCATACGGTGGTTTGGTAACAACTGCAGCAGGAAACACAGAAACATTAACACGGGTGATAAAGCCTCAGTGGAACTAATCAAGTTCCCAGTTCTAGGAGCAAACGCCCAAATACGCAACCCACCTCTTAACGGATTACCATAGCTTTCATGCAACTTGAACTGAATTTTTTTCACATAGGCAGACATATCCTAAAACAGAAACAGCGTTATTTCTGGTTATTTACACAGCACACCAAACTGCTGTCTATTAATCCAACCTACATGCCTATCGTCTCTTCTGATTTTGAACACAGTATGAGAGCAAGATGGTAGATCCAAGAACTAGTAGCGGCACGCAGGTCCGTCGGTATTTTGTCCCTCAATGCTCTTCAGTTTTCCCCCCAGCCTGGAAATATCACTCCAAAAAACACAAAAGGAAAAGTGCCTTCCCCCCCTCTTTTTCCTTTTTAGACCCCCCCCCCAGCCCGTGCATTTCCTCCCCTTCTGATGCCCAAATGCCCTTCCGCCCTCTCCCCAAATCCCGGCTTTTTTAAACCCGGATTCACTGCTCCGGGGTGCTGCTGGCCCGAGAGCGGGAGAGGTGGAGGAGCTGCGCCGTCCCCCCAGGCCCTGCCCCTGCAGCCCCGCAGGCAGGAGCGGCGGTGCCTTCCCACGGCCCGTTAACGCCTCACCTCGTTTCGGTAAGGCTTGACGTAAACCGTCCACTGGTGAGTGTGCCCATCTTCTTCTCTTTTCTTCCCAAAATACCGTGCGACGTTTCCATACACGATCGGCTTCACAATGGTAACACCCTTAAAAGAAAAAAAAAAACAAAAACAAAAACCCGACACCAAACAAACAGAAACGATACGTTTTGAAAGGCGTTTGCTGAGTTTCGTAGCCCGAGTTAAGCTGGTGTCAGCAGAGGCCCCGCGGAGCAATTCTCGCCCTCCCTCCTCGGGGATCCGCACCTTCACCCTGCCCCCGGA